ATTTAAAAAGGACTTCAACCAAGCCGTTTACTTTTATCGACCCCCCCCCCCCGCGTGCCCTCGTGAGCCTCCTTACTTTGCATTGATAAAACTAGGTGGAGGAAAGCCTGGCTGGTTAGACAGAGAAACAGAGGGAACTGAAGAACGTAGCTGAACAGGTACAGGTAGTCCTCGACTTAACAACAGTTCATTTAGCGACGGTTTGAAGTTACAATGGCACTGGAAAAAGTGAGTCGGCCGTTTTTTCACATTTGGTCACATGATTTGCACGGGGATGCTTGACAACTGGCTCGTGTCGGGCTGCTGTGTCCTGGAATCGTGTGATCCCCTTTGGAGATCTTCCGACAAGCGAAGTGAATGGGGAAGCCGGATTCACTTAACCGCCATGTTAATAATTTAAGGACTGCAGGGATTCGTGGCAAGAAAAGTCATAAAATGGGGCAAAACTCACTCAACAAATTTCTTACTTAACAACATAAATTTTGGGCTCAGTTGTCGTAAGTTGAGGACTACTTGTACTTACAACTTGTAGTTCATTTAGTGGACATTCAAAGATACACTGGACTTATGACGGATTTTGCACACTTAACGACCCATGGTCAGGTGATCAAAATTCAGATCCTTTGCAACTGACTTATATTAATGACGGCTGCAGTGTCCATGTGTGTGTGTCATGCGATCCCCTTTTGCAAACTTCTGACAAGCAAAGTCAATGGGGAAGCCGGATTCACTTAACAACTGTGTTACTAACTTAACAACTGCAATGATTCATTTAACAGCTGTGGCGAGAAAGGTCGTAAAATAAGGGAGAACTCAACAAATGTTTCACTTAGCAACAGAAATGTTGGGCTCACTTGTGGTCATAAGTCAAGGGCTACCTGTATAAAAAAGTTTCCTTCCCCCCCCCCCTTAATCCCCACCACCATCACCAAAAGTTGCATCACTCCAAATGTGATTGTCTACCAATTGTGTTATGTAGATAGGGCAATGGAGCCTCTTGTTATTTTCTGATTAGCTGTGATTGCATCACACCTGAACTACAGACCAGGATTTTAGGCTGGTGTGTTATGGAAAGCCTCTTATACATCAAGTTTATGGTTTGAGACATTTTTCAATCAGAACAGAGCTGGAAGGAACCTCACATACTGGAATACCGCTATCATGTTCCCCCCTAGTCCTTTTTTTCTCTAGACTAGCCATCCCCAAATCCTGCAACCTTAATATGTTTTTGTCTCCAGGCCCTTCATCGTCTTAGTTACTCTTCTTTGCACTTTTTCCCAAGGCGCAACATCTTTTTTGTAATATGTTGACCAAAACTGGATGCCGTATTCAGGTGTCGTCTTAGGCTTTATAAAGCGGTACTAATACCTCACATTTTAGGTTATTTATACAACCAAAGATTGTATTAGCTTTTTTGGTTGCTGCCGCACACTGCTGGCTCATGTTTAAGTGATCATTCAGTTAATTAAATAAACTGTGGTTTGGTTAACCATGCTTCAACTTGTTGGACAAAAGTTACTCTAAATCAGGGGTGTCAAACTGCCGGCCCGTGGGCCGGACGCGTCATCCAGAAACCATGTCCACCCCATTGCCGGCAATGGCAAAACTGTCCCGATACATCTCGCGACGTCACATGACATTGCGAGTTTGACATGTCTGCTCTAAATAAATAGGCTTGATTGATTGATGTTTTAGCCATTCTGCTCTGTGAATCATAATTTATGGCTCAGCATATTCCATAAACCTAGATCCCATCTGAATAATTCTCCAGCCAGTTTTGCCCATCCACCCTAATTTTTTAAATACATCCCTTGTAACTACTAAACTCAGCAAAGTAGTTTATGCCCTTGTTTAAAATACCCAGAGACATGCACGCAAGGCACAGATCATCTTTAGTCTTAATGCTTTTCTAAATGATTGTCTAAGTCAGTGGTAGCAAACCTATGGCACGGGTGCCAGAGGCGGCACGCAGAAACCTCTTTGTGGACACGCGCGCCGTCGCCCCAATCCTAGGCCTTCAGCTGGGTTTTATAAAACCTTTTCGCTTTAGGCCTCCACCGCCGTGTACAAAAAAAAGGTTCAATCAATCAGTCAATTTCAACTTCTCGCGGGAAAAAAAAGATCTTGCAAAGTTGGAATTGATTGATTGAACTTTTTAGTCCCACCCAGTCTGCCATTACCACCGCAGCCACGCCCACCCAATGGGCCACACCCACCCGGCACCCGACGATGCATAAGTGGGTTTTGGGTTGCAGTTTGGGCACTCGATCTCTAAAAGGTTCGCCATCACTGGTCTAAGTGTTTTTCAACCTTAGCAATTATAAGATGAGTGGACTTCAACTCCCAGAATTCCCCAGTCACTCTAAGGGCAAAATCCTTTGCCATCATTCTTTTGGAGAAACAATGTCCAACTGTCTACTTTGCAGAAAACATCCAAACCCACTTTGTGATGATGTTTCCTGCTTAGGAAACTCCAAGTAGGACTCTCTTTCTTGAGCTTTCACACATGGACAACTTCCTACCAGTAACACACACCAGATGAGAAACTTCCAGGAAACAGCGCATACATACAGCTCTCAGAAGAAGCAGGCATACCATCAGGAGGTGTTTCTTAGTGTCCACACAAAATATAACCCACTGTTATTCTGAAAGTTTATTGCTTGAGGCAGTACACTAGAGAAAGGAGAAAAAAAGCTTCTTTCCAGATGATACTCCATCTCTGAAATCATCTTAGGCAATTCTTCCTTAGTTACTACTAGACCTTGTAATTCTTGGGTTTTTCATCTTAAAGGAGACCTTTAATTGTTGATTTGGACTCACTTTCACGAAATATGAGAATCAAAGACTTGAGGTTTTAAAAAACCGGACTTTTAACAAATAGTAAGCAACCTTAAAAATTTATTTTATTTTGAAATGATGGAAATGATTCACATTGAACGTTTAACTCTGCTTTTAAATTCTTCAGCTCCTGTTCTAAAAACTAAACAAAGCCACAGCGAACTCTTATTTAACACCAGGATTACTTTATAAATAGCTTTGCTCAGATTTGGAGAGCTTTCTGGTATGTAGTTTGTTAGTTACAAATTCATAGTTTTGCAAAATCCTTCGGTGGCCCAGCTTTCAGTCTTTTGTTAGGGCTTGACGCTTCAACTGCTGCCATGTCAGGTTGTACAGGCAGTCCCCAACCTTCAACCATTCATTTAGTGACCAGTTACAACGGCACTGAGAAAAGTCGCTAATGAACATTTTTCACACTTACGACCGTGGCACCATCCCCAGGGTCGTGCGATCAAAATTCGGACGCTTGGCGACTGACTCATATTTTATGACGGTTGCTGTGTGGGATCACGTGATCGCCTTTTGCGACCTTCTGACAAGCAAAGCCGATGGGGAAGTGGATTCACTTAAAAGCCGTGTTACTAACTTAATAACTGCAGTGCTTCACTCAATAACTGTGGCAAGAAAGGTCGTAAAATGGAGCAAACCTCTAGCAACAGAAATTTTGGGCTCAATTGTGGTCATAAGTCAAGGACTATTTGCACAAGTTGTTTTTTTTTCCAGTGTTGACGAGGTGCAGTTAGTTGGGTTCTCCTCCACATTTTATAGTGCACAAATGTTTTTTCCCAAGGGCACAGAATAATAATAATAATAATAATGATGATGATGATGATGATGATGATGATGATAATAAAGTTGGAAGGGACCTTGGAGGTCATCTAGTCCAACCCCCTGCTCAGGCAGGAAACCCTATACCATTTCAGACAAATGGCTGTCCAGTCTCTTCTTAAAAACTTCCAGTGTTGGAGCATTCACCGCTTCTAGAGGCAGGTTGTTCCACTGATCGATTGTTCTGTCAGGAAGTTTCTCCTTAGTTCCAGGTTGCTTCTCTCCTTGATTAGTTTCCATCCGTTGCTTCTTGTCCTGCCTTCAGGCGCTCTGGAGAATAGCTTGACTCCCTCTTCTTTGTGGCAGCCCCTGAGATACGTATTGGAACACTGCTATCATGTCCCCCCTCGTCCTTCTCTTCATTAAACTAGACATACCCAATTCCAGCAACCGTTCCTTATATGTTTTAGTCTCCAGTCCCCTAATCATCTTTGTTGCTCTTCTCTGTACTCTTTCTAGAGTCTCAGCATCTTATAAACGAAGTAGGACCTGCCACATCCAAGTGACTATATATATATACCGTTTCCCCAAAAGTAAAGCCTACTCCGAAAATAAGCCCTAGCTTGATTTTTTTTGGGGGTGGGGCTAATATAAGCCCTACCCCGAAAATAAGCCCTAGTTTTGGGGCAAGGCGCACACCTAAAAATCAAGCTAGGGGTGGGGAGGTGGATCTGCCCTATTAACTATCTTTATTGTTAAACAGTATAAAAGTCTTCTGGGTTTTGTACCATGAATTTTGATTTCATGCAACTATGTCTCCACTTCCTCAAATAAATTACAGTATTTGCAGACCATTTTTCTAATATATAATCTGAAAGTTATATGCATATACATACCTATATACCCACTTTCTGGGCCTAAATACTTTTCTAATGTGTAAATATGCTTTTATAATGGTGATCTCATTTAAACCATTTCATTAATATTTGAAAATAACACCTCTAGGTGAGATGGGTAGCACAGAAGTCTAATAATAATAATGAAAAGGGACATTGGAAGCTTCTTTCTATTTTTTAAATATATTCTTTTATAGTTCTTTCTACGTTTTTTCTTTTCTTCTTTAATTCTTCTTTTACTCTTTATTATATTGTGTAATTTTTATGTTCTTTGTAAAACTTTTAATAGAATTTTGATGAACAACCAAATATCTGGAAGGTTTAAAGAAGGGCTATTAATGGGCTAATGTTCATATACTGTAAATATGTATCAGGTTGTTTGAACATTTAAACAACTTTTTAACTATTCACTTAGAACAATTTTAAGATATGCTAATATGTTACAGTAAGTCTTTTTAACATATTAAGACATCTGAATCAGATAAGTCCTTTGTACTGTATGTGCGAGCATGCATATATTGGTAAAATGAGTGCCACTTTATACACAAAACAGACAGAGATAATAATTTATTTAAACTACATTTTCATTATGAAAACAGTTTTTCTTGGGGGCAGAGTTATTACCTTTAAATACTATGGTTTGGAAGTCTTTCAGCTGAAGACAGATAAATCTAAAGAAGAAGCCATGAACATAGATTATTTTGGAAATCACAGTAGAAAAGTGTCTAATATGGAAAGAGCTGCTATTTGATTATACAATTAGCAAAAATGGATCTTAAGAGCACAGAATGCTTAAAGTAGGTTTTCAAAATAAACAACATCTGACAAAGTATAATTAGAATTGCTATACAGCTTCACGTTTTCCTTTAAGGACCTATATTAATTAACTAAATGGAAAATAAAATTCTGAAATTTCATTTAGCTAGTTGCTAAACCACACATCTCTAGGACTTTGCAAGTGTACTAACCCAACTTTAATATATAAAATTTAAATCACCAAGGGGTCATGCTCATGAACACTCTTTGAAATAACTAAGCACTGGCAACCCTCACAGATAACCTGAAGCAAAATAATGTCAGAGAAGCAATACGTGATTAATCTTACGCAAATGTTTTAAAGAGCCTAACTGCCTAGGACTGAGTATGATACGATCATCACAAGGTATTTTAAAGTGATTTTGAGGTAAAAACCAAAATAGGTTTTGCTTTATCAATAAACAGTGAAATTACTGAAAAATACCAATGACCATTAATTCTCAATATAGAACACAGAACATTTTACCAACTCTTTACACAGAAGCATGCGGAAGTAATTAAGACTTCAGTTATTGAATGCTAGGAACCAGGCAACCATTAAGACTATAATTCCACAGACTGGCAGCAAAACCACATTCTTATACTTTTGCCATAAAGTTTGTTCAACTTCAATCTCATCCTTTTTCCTCTTATTCTTCCGACGTCCTTTCAGTCTGTTTTCAAAAGCCTCCAGTTCTGCCTGCAGAGAGAGAGAAAAAAGACGAAATGAAATGATAAAAATTTTTAACAATAGAACTTACCAATTTTTTCCCCACTTGTTTCTCAAAATAACACATTGTACGATACAGTGGCTCTGTGTAAATGGAACAATGCCACGGTCTGACTTGGTGATGCTCATTAAGGAAAGAAATGGGACTAATCCAACCCATCTTAAGAGCATCAGATGGCGAAGAGTCCATCTACTCAAGCATAAGGTGGCACATACACACTTTGACCCTACTCATATACTGCAACTGGACGTTCACTTGGAGTGAAACAAAAAGTCTAGAGCAGACATATCAAACACAAGGCCCGGAGGCTGGATGCGGCCCGCGAAGTGGTTTCATGTGGCCCACGAAGCCATCCTGGAAACAGGTCCCCGCTGCCTTGGCCCTGGCCCAGGCCGGCCGGGAGCCAATGTACAATTTTGTGGTGGCCATCTATGCTGAAACACATTCAGTCTTAGCTCCACAAGGCCGTCTGGAAACAGCAAGGAACCAGCCCCTGCCGCGTCGGCCCTGCCCCCTGGGTGCATGCTGGGGAGGTGTCACCCTTTGTGAGGAATGAAGAAATGGACCATGCCTTGGCGCTTGCCCCGGTCCCACCCCCTTCTGCCAGAGACCCTCAGATCTGTCCCACTCCTGCGCAGGCCTTGGACTTGACCCAATTAGTGCATGCCCCCACTCACACGGGAGGACACACACTGGATCTAATTTTTGTCTCTGGCCAGTGGCAGAATGATCTGGAAACGGGGGAGGTAGTTATTGAGCCCGTCATGGTCAGATCATTCACTCCTGAAGATGGATTTCCGGACCGCTCCCCCCCGCCGCAGGGAGTCGGAACCACGTAGATGGTTCCGTCCCAGGCGCCTGATGGACCCTGAGAGGTTCCGGACGGAGCTTGGGCCATATCCGGAGGATCTAGTTCACGACTCGGCGGAAAATCGGGCGGCAGCCTGGGAAGTAGCCGCTGCCGCAGCATTGGACC